CAGTTCACTCCTGCACCTAAACTCCCTCCCAGAGTTTGCACCTCTCACCCCCTCCTCCATCCCAACCTCCTGCCCCAGGCTCAGCCCAGAGCCCCCTCCCACACTATAAACCCCTCAACCCCAGCCCAGAGCCCACACCCCTTCCTGAACCCCAACCCCCTACCCCAGCCCGGTGAAAGTGAGTGGGGATGGGAGAGAGCGAGTGATGGAGAGAGGCAGGGATGGAGTGAGTGGGGCGGGACTTTGGGGAAGGGACGGGATAGATTCTGTGTTGCCCTTATATTCAAAAAGTAATCTTGGGCATAAAAAGGTTGGAGACCACTGTTCTAGGCACTGCTGTAACAAAAATAATTTATCAGAATGGTTGCCACTTGCTCTGCAACCCCCACCCCACTTGTTATCCTCAATGGTAATCCCTTGGCTGATGGAGTCCAAATCTGAGCTCAGGAAATTGGGACAAGACTATCCTTGGTGAAGAGCCCATGATTATGAAATACATATATACAGGAGATAAAGCCAAGTCCAATTCTAATCATATTTAGAGTAGTCTCCCAAATTACTCAACACAAAAGGAATGAACCACCAACACAATAAACTGGCATAAAAAGAGAAGAAAGATTATCTCTGCTTACTACAGGGTAAACACTGTGAGCAACAAAGGAATCATTGGAGTTTGTTAATTTGCTTGCTATCCCCACCTTGTGTGATGAAACTACAGGAATTCTGGCAATGTACCATGAGAAAAATCAGGGCACAGAACTGAGTGGCAGAGCATTGCACCATGGGATGTCTATCCAGAATACTAAGTGGTTAATTCGAACAAGCACAGAGCTACATGGACACAATGATTAGCAAGGAAAGTACCTTAATCTGGAATAACACAGTGGTGTGAACACAGTTCAGTTCAATGGAGTTAAATACCTTCACTTATAGCAAACAAATTAACTGGATTTAACATCCCCATATAGACATGGCCTAAGAGCTTGTCTACGTGGGAAGCTATGACGACTTAATCAAAACTGAAGTTAACGCACATTAACTTCAAAACTTTAGTTACTTCATCTTAACTTTCCAGAGTGTCCCCATGTACACTAATTCTAATTATAGTCTGATCTAGAGTGGTGAAAGGAAGGAACAGAATTTGATGGCAACTATGCTGCCTGGCAATGAGATGAGTGCACAGGTGATCAACACAAGGTAATCTCGGAGATACTCCACCTTGCACAGGTGCTAGAGTGCTTAGCAGAAAAGCAATCCAGTACCTACCGTGTGTGTATATTTCACAGCCAATACAGTACCAGAAGAAAGAACTACAGTTATTAGATTTTTAACATCTAGCCTATATCCGTAGAAATGTCTTTAAATGCAGAGGTGTGTGTATAGTTTGAGTTGGGGATTGGATTACTGCGCTGTAGCAGGGTGGTCACCCCGCTCTGGGCCAGAGGGGTTAAAAACAGCTTGGGGGGTGGGGGGGGGGGGCGTGTGGCTGGAGAAGGCAGCTTGAAGGCTGAGCTGATTGGGGGAAGTGGCTGCAGCTGGGGCCACACCCCAAACAGACTCAGCTGGCCCTATAAAGGCAGGGAGCTAGGCGCTCAGACACAGTCTCTCTCTATGTGCAGAGAGAGAAGGGCCTGGCTGTAAGGAGCTGAAACAGAGTACCTAGGTGGAGCAGGGCTAGGGAAAGGCTGGGGAGCTCCAGCCTGGAAAGCCCCAGGCTGTGGCCTAATGGAAACCCAAGGGGGTACTGGGGGTTGCAGAGGGCAGCCCAGGGCTCGGCCAAGGCAGCAGGTCCAAACCCAACCTTGTCTGTGATTAGTGACCTATACTGCAGTCTGCCCCAAGGCATGGGGGCTAGTTGGTGACTGGCAGTGGCCTTATTCTGAGGTGAGGTAGGGATA